GTAGAACTGTCCTGATGATCGTATTGAATATTGTGCATTTGACATTGATTGACAGTTGTTTTGAGTTCCATATGTTCTTCAATTGTATAAATGCGGTCCTCGCTTTTACATCAGCATCAGATCCTCCTTGTTCATCAGTCATGCTTCCCAGGTACGTGGGTGTTTCCACATCTTCCAGAGTTTCGCCATCGAGTGTGATTTGTCTGGTGTTCTCCGTGTTGTATTTGAGAATCTTGTTTTTTCCATTGTGTATGTTTCGGCTTATTGATGCAGAGGCTACTGATTTATTAGTTGTCTTCGTCTTTATTTGTTGGTGTGTGTGGGATAGGAGGACTAGATCAACTGCGAATTCCAAATCATCAAATTCATTTTGAGATGTCTACTGTATTTCGTACTTCCCTTCAGATGTCGAAGTCTTCATGATTCAGTCAATCATTAAAAGAAGGTAGATGAGCGAGAGTATACAGTCTTATCTGACTCCGGTCCTTACTGCAAAATGCAGCTCTCAGCTGAACTTCATGCGTGATCTTGCACTGTAGTCTGTCGTATGAGTTCTGGATAATGTTGACAATCTTCTCACGAACTCCATAGTGTCGAAGAATGTTCCATAATGTTATCCTCTTCACAGTGTCAAACGCCTTCTCATATTCGATGAACGTGATGTTCAGTGACGAGTTCCACTCAACTGATTGTTTGATGATGATCCGTATTGCCGCATTACGGTCCTTATGGAATCCATTGTGTTGATATCAAAGTCGGGCGTCTACGGCGTCTTTCATCCAGTTCAGCAACGCCCTATTGAAACGTTCCCTGGTACTGACAGAAGTGCATTGCCTTCGTCGATCTCACAATTGCTCAGATCTCCTTTCTTTTGTATCTTGATCAAGTCTCCCTCTTTCCAGTGCGTCAGTGCCGCACATGCAAACTGTTTAGTCCGGTTTGATAGTCAAAGATTTGAATGTGAGTAGGTGTCTATCAAAGAGGTTGATAATGTTACTGATTCATGGAAATCAATGCACTTCTCCTCTAGTCGGGACTCTGACAATGTTCGAGTGGAGTAGTCTATCAACCGAAGTTTGTCAATGTGCACTGATAAAACCGGTTTACTGAGTGACTGTATAATTTTTACAGACTTCTATTTGGGAAATTTGCAAATAGTAAATTATTCAGGTGTCTTAATCATGGGTTTGTGCCTATTTCGCATAAAAAAGTAACAGCTCAACAATCTCATGTAGCTCACATCATAGTCTGATAGTCGAAATTTGTTGTTTAAATTCATGTATTAGATGGCCTGCTTGAATATCTGGGCTACTTGTTCCTTCCATCTAGATACTTCGAAAACTCATCTAATTTTGTTTGTTTTAATACATCATTATGTCCATTATTCGCAATACTTAGATGTCGATTGACTGGACTGCTAACTTCCATCAGTCGATCACTCAATATTTATCGTCAGGATAGATCAAGAAATAAAAAACAAAAACTTGTTGAAATATTTTGTGCTGGGAATTCTGTATTGTACCAAAAATATAATATTGAATAAACCTAATAATAATAATAATAATAATAATAATAATAATAATAATAATAATAATAATAATAATAATAATAATAATAATAATAATAGGTATTCATATGCGTGTCCATGAGAGAGGAAAGTAGTAAATGGTGTGAGTGACAAAGAGAGGTTGTGTTTGTGCATAAAACAGACTGATGCTGTTTGAAAATCATATATTGACTTGTGAGACCACTATCCATTCGTTGTTGAAATTGCAAAATGTTCATCTTTTTTCCTCATCTCATCTCAGAGGTGGATGCCCACGTCAATTTCCGTATAGTGTAAAGGGTCTATACAGACAATGGACTATAAAGTATGGCAGAAAATGGTATAGCTGGAGATACGGAAGAAGATGTCATCGGGAATACGTGAAACAAAGGTGTAATCATACAAATGAAAGACAACTGAATCAGACACCTGTAATTCAAACGAAGGGGTACAAACTCATAAAACAATACCTCTGCCCGAATAAACAAAAGGTGTGATGCAATAAAAACACACAGAAATTCTTCACACATCATCACAATTGAAACCGTGTTCACATCTAACAAACACTACATACTTGAAACTTCCTTTTATCCCCAACATTAAAGACAATGCTACCCGCAAATGTACTGTTATCTTTCTCTCTTTAAAATATGAACGCAATGTTGTCTGGTTAATAAGACTGGTGGAAACGTGTGTGGAATAATGCCAATAAACAGGATGATTTTGTGGGTCTGAATGTGACACCTTCTGCTTGAGTGTATATGATTATGGTTGTGAGTATGTTCGTAATACACTTCGGTGGAATATAGGTTTCTACTTTAATATGACTTGCTCAGTGTCTATCTCGGAGCAAACTGTACGGTAAGAAACCGTTAACCATACGAATAACGAGCAGTCGATCAATTATACTTGTTCGTACGACACTATAAGGCATTTTAAATGCACATATCAGACGATCACAGTCAATAATGCAAGTCATTTCAGAGAAGTGGACTAGAACAGTGGTGCACGTTTAACGTGTTTGATATGAAAGTTAGTTTTAGTATTGTACCGATACATATAAAGTCCAGTCGATATGCATATCTGAGTCTTATGGACGCCAAAATATAGAACGGATTTTCGCTAATACTAGCCATATAACATGATGTCAATGACCGATTGTTGATGAAGTTAACGTTACGCGCGAATAATTCACTTTGTTTGATATACAGAACGGAACCTGAAGCACTTTTCTACATCGAAAATAAACAAACTAATCATTTCAAAACGCACGTTGGTTGATTATCATGTGTGACAAAGCAACAATCGAGAGATATTTTTCGATACTTGTGACAAACTTGTAATGACACAGAAACCGATTTGCTGTTTACTAAATAGATCGTATTCTTATTTCATTGATGGATAAATTTGAATTTATATCACTAAAGCCTATCTTAGATAATGATTATATGTTTACATAATGTATAAGATGGATTGTCAGAGAGACAGACAGTTGAATTGCAATGACCATTAGATGAATTCTTTTCTAGTAAGTGTAGATATACTGGAATATGGCTAAATGTGTTAGTTCATATTAGGTATGTGTTCATCAGTAAAATATCTATGATTATTATTTTAATTATTTTTGTTCATAGACCGGCATCTCATATATGTTTTCACGGAAGTGCTCCTGCTTTGTACGTCTCCATCTACTATGCGTGATTAAATCAACAGACACTAGAACAAACAACGTTTGTCTTTAAAAATCTTCTTTGTTCAATCGCTTACTTTCACAACATGGCCTTCAATATTTGATAAGATAGTAATCATTTTAAACTATTCTTCTCAATAATGTTAAGTTTAGTGGATGCTCACTGTTGAGGAGTCCCATACTAAGACGAATGTTCGGTCCAGTGCTTCCAGGTCTACAACGGTGGTCGAGATTAATTTACTCATGAATTCAACTATTAAACTTTAGTTTCATTCGGCACTATACAATTTTTTTCAAATTTAACCATATTTATTATTGTAGGGTAGTCTGTCGACTTATTTATCGGTAAAGAAGTAATAGTAAAATAGATTTACCTGCATGCGAAATACAAATTTGAAAATTAGAATAGAGCACTGAATAAAGGTGCTGGACTAAATAACTACAAATCAAAACTCTGTTTACTCCTTATATATCAAGCTGATTTTTATCATTAACGAATAATGTTGATATAACATGTCATAATTGAATCCTTTGAACTGAATCAAAGTTACAGTCCTTTGGTCAACTAATTAAGCAACTTGATACAATCTACTGTTCGAGCTTATCTAACCTCTTCATGTATATTTGTAATGTTGTAGACTATGCTGCATGAATACTTGTCTATCTTTATTTGTTTATATTATCCTGAAGCACAAAGTTATTTCAGCGAGTTGATATTCCTACCGTCTGACTAGTTGTCTAAATTGAATTCCTTTAGAGCACTACAAATTTCATTCTTATTATGATTGTTATTCAGTGAAGTTTGACTGAGTGTTTCGAACGAAAATAAATTACGAATCATATTATATCATAACCATCGTTACTCATTTAGTCAACAGGAATGACAACACTTCAATCATAATGTTCTGACAGTGGAAAATAATGTTTAGTTTAACAAGTTATATTCTCTATTAACTAAGTGTTTTCATAGACTCTCATCCTGTACTGAATCAATTTCAAACTGAAGGTAACTTGATACAAGTAAATTTTACATATTCACATCATACACGTAATTTTTACTTAACAAAAGGTTTACATATCAATAACTCTTATTATGAACTATTGTATAATTGAAATCATGAGTCAATTGAATCTAGACCACCATGGAAAACCTAGATGCACTGGACGGCTGTTTTGTCATATTGTGTAACTTTTCAGCAGTGCGCGGCCACGATATTGCCTAGCCATTTACGAACTCAGGATCTAACAGTCTCTCGCCAGAGCACGTAAACGATAAACCAATGAGCCGACCGGCATCAACAGTGTTAATGTCTCACTTCAACCAATCCACGAAGTCGGGCAGTCATTTCACCAATGTCTTCAGTGATTTGATATCTCCTAACAGACCTGGTTGAACTCCACAGGCTACTGCTTCTCACAAGTACCCCAGAAAATACCTTATGGAGCCAGTCTCTGGTGAGCACATGATAAACATGACAAACAACCCCCTATTGTATAATTTTTGTGAAAAAATTCTTTGATTTATTTTGCCAAACAAATAAATTTGATATTTTCGCTTGTAAAAATTGAATATCGGTAGATCCGATATGTCCTAGGTTCAAATCCCATATGTAGTGAGATCGTAAATATCCACTGCAGAGGAATCATATACTAGGACAAACGATCGTCAAATGCTTCCAAATGTTCAATGATGATCTAGTTTTAATGGACTAATGAATTAAAATAAAATCCCTATTTATTCAGATCATGAACTCGAACCATATTGTGTTAAAAAGGTTAAATATTTATATTAAATTTCATTCAAACATTATTTTGTTTTCTATAAATGATCATCAGTTATATTAGCAGGTTAAATTAATGGGAGGTAGTATGGATCTTCAGGATATATAGGATCATAGGGTTGTCTATTGGCATATTTACCCCTAGAGAAGTAAAAACAAGAATATAATAAATCATTTGTTTATGCATAAATGGAATTCAACAGAAATACGTTTTATACTACACTTTTGATTCTAATCTAAACACTCTGTTAAGTAATGGGCTGTTTTAAGATTAGCGAAATGATTTCAAAGACAATTGAATGTAGAGCTCAATTATAACGCTGTGTATTTGTGAAAAGCATGTTCTTTAAAAATAAAAAAGACCGATTGAAGTGATCCATTCATTGCGAAACTCAGTATACTACATTGAATAAGACCGTTATATCTCAACATCCATATCAACAAAATTTCTGTTAACAGTAATTGATCGCCCCAGAGCGAATCGCCTTTACCAATAAATTGAAGGTTTTCTATCATTATGGTGACTATGTTTGATAAGTATTACGCGAACTCTACTTAGATAGCGTGACTGGTAAAGTTCAATTATTTCGAGCCTCAATTAGTTATGATTGGCAGAAAAGTATAGTGGTCGTAAAGTATGGCAAACTAGCTAAATTTGGAGATGCGTTCTGTTAGGTCTTGTGACACTGCGGTAAGAATTTGAGGTGCTCTCTGACGAACCTAAATATTCTAATTTGAATCTCCGATGTGGTTTTAGATGAACAATAGTGAGCAGTGTCATGTTGGCCCTTAAATGCCCTGGTACGGCCAATAGTCCGCTCTCCCTCTCGAAACGCTCTCACATGACCAGGCGTATCAAGGAAGTCCTACTCAATGTTTTCTCGTGGCGGGAGTGTTGTTTACGAAAAGAGAATATCCGGCGCTTTAACTGGATTGGTGGACACGGAAAATCCACCTAGGGGATTTAGAAAACCCTGATTCCAAACCAATGGTGCACATAGGCTCCAGTATCCTGAAGGAATAAATGGCGTATGAACCAATCGTTGGTCACCAGCTATCATGTGACTGCATCTCCTTACGATGCTTCACTGCCTTGTGGATCAGATCTTTAGGTGAAAGGCTCCGGGTGTGGTTCCTTAAGAAAACCACCTGCTTCAGTTTGGGCTTCTGGGCAGTATCACAGCCCCCACACAAATCGAATGAGATTTGTGAAGCGAATATGTAACTGGTGCTTCCTTGTACCAATATTTATATGGTTAAATAATAATAATAATAATAATAATAATAATAATAATAATAATAATGTGTCATGTTAGTACAGAACACATAAATGACATAAATCGATGAATGTTGAACAAAATGTTTCATGAAATTACATACCCTGGTCCATAGTTGCAAACAACAAGAAGCTTATCTAGTCCTGTTAGATGTCTACACATTGCATAACCACATCCAATATGTGTGGTATCGGCGAATGCTAACTGTAAAACATATATTAATATAAAATATTTTCAGCATAAATATTGTTACGAAAGAATTTTGAGGTTTCATACTTCAAAATGCTTCAACTAATTTAGTCGGTTACTTATTTACTTACTTACACCTGTTACCTCTCGTGGAAGAGCACAGGCCACGCACCAGTACTATCCACCCAACCGAGTCCTCGACAATTCTTCCCAGTTCTTTAAAGTTGTCATTCATCCTCTCCACATCTGCTTCTATTTCCTGCCGTATTGTGTTCTTCGGCCTTCCCTTTTTATGGATCCTTTCAGTATTCCAAGTTAGCACTTGCCTCGTGATGCAGTTTGGTGATTTTCTTAATGTATATCCGATCCACTTCCAATGTCTTTTCCTAAATCCCTCACCAGCTGGAAGCTGGTTTGTCCTCTCAATTTATTCGGTTCGATTGAATCAAAACAATGACGTGTTATAAGGTTCGATTCTTACGATTCACCATTTATATACAACAAATCAGCTGTATTTCACTATCTACAGAATTTTATTTGGTATATGAGTTAGACCGATTAGAATATAACTGTTACTACATAAACTATTCCATTTCATATTATTTGGATAGAGTGACAATGTAATAACTAACGATTTACATTTAAGTGATTTACCCAAACACTAAGCTTTATATTTGTGTATTTCTGTTTATTATATTATAATGACCAAAGTAAATAATTGGCATAGATAAGTAATGAGTGCATTGTACAGTAACTCCGTCTGTAGCTCTTCTAGAGTTACTGCCGGTCCCAAGCCCGGGTAAAGGAGGAGGGCCGGACACGGGGTTAGCGACACCAACCCGTAGAAAATGTAACTCGCTAAAGAAATGCTAACCAGAATTGTACAATGCTAAAGAAATCAACTTTTATGCCGATTTTAGTTTTTATAATTTCCTAATGTATTCAATATCTATGTGTTAACGAATAATTGAATATCATTCGTAATTTCATAAATGCATTTGTATAATTTAATAGTTGAATTCATGAGTCAATTAAAACTAGAACACTATTGAAAATCTGGAAACACCAGACGTCTGTCTCAACCTAGAGTGTGACTCCTCTGAAGTGCATATTTACGAGCCCATACGTATGATTTGAACACAGGACCTATTGATCTCGCATAAACGATTAACCTCTAGACCATTGACAGGTGAGATCGTGGATGCGCACTGCTGAGAAGTCCTCACAATAATCAAATTGATATTTGTTCGACACTCACTTGTTTGTAATCTGCACAAGTTTTATTTGCCTCACATGTATTATTTCCGAAATTGTAGTTCTTGTGTTGTTCAAACCATAAAGATGCTGCTCTGCAAATACGAATCAAAAAGTGAACATGAAGAAGGATAAATAGAAAATACAGTTCAATGTCACATAGAATTCACAGATTAAACATTTACAGAAGTGTACATTATCAAAACTTATTTATACTAGTTATAAACAATATGCAGTTATTCAAATAAACTTACTCTCTAACTTTAGGAACGAGAGCGATACTCTGACCAACATATGTCCATTTCGAACCTTTCCTCATAGTCAAGTTACTTCGTCTTGGCACACAATGCTGTGCCCAGTCCTGAGCCATTTCAGCCAATTTATGACTCCATGTCTAACATAAACAATTTTTTGCTAGCTAATTACTCACTAGTTTAAGCATACTCATCGCTTGTGGTTGATCACGAACATGACCATATTTTATATCTCTTCTATATGCATTGTGTAAAGCTAATAATTCAGAGTTTTGTGTATACCATCTATAGGCTAGATTTTCGTAAATGTTCACTAGCACGAAGAAAATAAGATTGAACTGTATAGTATACAACATGTTGAGTTGATAGTTTAGTTCTAAACTGTTTACAATGATTAAATTTATACATTTATAAATGAATTCGTTGATCAACATGATTATTTAATAAGTACACAATAAGGAATCTGTTTACTTTATTATGTATGGAATGCAAACAAACAATCTTGGATGATTTACATGTTTTATATGACTGTCTATGTCATGTGTTTTTATGAAATGGATACAATATTGTATGGTATGTTGTCTTTCTGTGAGCATGTTAACAGATTGGTTTTAAATACAGAAAGAGGGTTTTCATTATTGAATTGCTAAGGTTTCAATAAACCTTAGTATACGCTTTATAAGCAAAGATGGATAGTGGCCAGCAGCGGAATACAAGACGTACGTTTCGTTCTATCTGGGACTCGTTAGCTGGACGTAGCTGCATCTCAGAGTTGATGTTCACACTGGGACTCAAATCCAGTACCGTTCGCTTCATATACGCCAATAAGAGACTGATCAATTGCAGTCCTAAACATCAATGGGAAGATTCAAACAAATAATAATAAATGAATTTAATATGCTCTATTTTACGCTTTTGTACAACACCACAAAAGTCGAGTTTAAATCAATCTTATGGCCTGTTTCGATTATATCTTTGTGAATAGAGGATGATGGATGTTCATCCTCTACACGTATTAGATCATTTGATTCTATTTGTTTCTCAAACCATTTTTAGTGACATGTTTTCACACCCTGATTTTGAGATCACGAATAATCCTCGTTATGTATGTGTGATCACACATAGATTTAAGTTGGTAAACACAGTGGGATGTGACACAATCGTTACATATATATATATATATATATATATATATATATATATATATATATATATATATATATATATATATATATATATATATATATATATATATATATAGAGAGAGAGAGAGAGAGAGAGAGAGAGAGTACAACCAGGTCTGTTGTGAGATATCAAATGACTGAAAACAAATGATGGACGGTTGCTCAATTTGATGAATCAGTTGAAGTTAGACATTAACACCGTTGGATGCCGTATCAGTGGTCGAGTGCTTAAGCGCTAGTGAGTGAGAATGATAGTTCCTGGGTTTGAGTCTCGCGAGGCGGGATCGTGGATGCACACTTCTGAGGAGTCCCACAATATGACGAAACGGCCGTTTAGTGCATCTAGGTGTTCCATGGTGGTCTAGTTTCAATTGACTCATGAATTCAACTATTAGATATATATATTTAAGTAAGTATTAAGAAAGATAAATCATTTCAGTCAAAAACTACATATTCAGCTAATATTCTGTGTAATCAAATGTTTCTGTGTGAATATTTGTTCTAATGATGGAATAGTTGAAATCATTCGAATTATTAGAACAGCATATGTCGACGAACAACGTTGTTTTCTATTAGATCCTCATCAGACTTTACTCTAATATACAGTGATATTTAAATGTATACACAAAATTCATAAACTAATCAAGGCAGTTTATGAATCAGTAATACTAATGGAATAGATTACACAAGTAAAAATCATAAATAAAGAGTACAAATTGATAGTGTGGTAACGGACTTGAATCTGTTTCATAGTAAGAAAGAGGTCAATGACTTTTTAAAAAAATGAATGCTGAAATAACATCCATAAAAATCGTAAGACTAAGTAATAAGAAATGTTCAGATAGTTGGACAATAAAGCTTATATTTGGATTGTTAGATCAAATTCCTACAGTTTCTGCTATGTTTAAGAGACGAGACCGAATCCCATAAAGAAAACAAGTAGGAATACGATGGATCGCTTTAAACGACATATTTCTGTCTACTACATGACCGCTATCGATCAAGTATGATAAAACAGAGCTGTTTACCCCTTCCGACCCACGAATGGAGGAGTTCACTAACTCATCAGCTCAGTTGTCTAGTCGTATCCAATATAGATTTCTCCATACGAGCGGCTGAATTCGTAGATACACATAGATGTGGCAGAACCACGTAACTTATCCTCTAATTGAGGAATTACCATAGATTGGATCGAGAATGGTAGACAGAGGTTAGTTGCATTAAATGTTCTCTTCATTGCTCTAGTCAATTTATCCCGCAGCACATCCCTAGCTATATCTCCACTGAATTGCAGCTTCAGGATGAGAGGTTTCTTACTAGTGTTTGACGTCGCTACATTCCTATTTGTTACTTGCAAGTGTTTCTTCAGGAAACCTTGTGGATAACCCATTTCAACCAACATATTATGAACAACAACAACTAAATATTAACTAATTCCCATATGACTACACAATGTGTGGACAACTAGTAAAACAGCATTACAAAGGTTCAATACAGTCTTCGTTTCAGACAATAACAAACTCAACCGGTCCAAGATAACTCTCAACAACACGCTCCAAGCCTTACAACAACTACTAAAAGAACAAGAAATTATTATTGATGACAACTGGAAAGGGATCAAAGAAGCACTAAACTCAATGCGTAAATAAGTTCTGGGCTTCAACAAACATCACCATAATGAATAAATAGTTATCAAAACCCTGGACAAGACTCAAGAAAAGGAGATCAGGAAGACATAAATTAACAACAGTCGAACAAGAACAGAAAAAGTCAAAGCATAAACTGAATATATATAGAAGCGAACAATCAAGTGAAGAACATTGGGGTCGACAACCTAAAATATGTGGAAGACCTAACAACGATTAGCGGATAAAAATGCAAGAGAGGGAAATATAAAACAACTATATGACATAACTAAGAAACTAGTCGGCAAATATAGTAGACCAGAGTGACCGCTCAAAAACAAAGAAGGCAAGACAATCACTGAAATTCTAGGACAGAGAAACAGATGGGTGGAACACTTAGAGGAACCCTTAAATAGACCTATCCCATTAAATCCAACGGACACACAGACATTCCTATAGACGTCACTTTACCAACGACGGAAGAAATCATTATGGCCAGCCATCAGACAAATCAAGAGTGGGAAAGCAGCAGCGCCTAACAATATACTAGCCGAAGCACTAAAGTCAGAAATTGAAGCAACTGCAAACATGCCCCACATTCGATTCTTATAAGATTTGGAAGAACCAATGCCACCGACAGACTGGATAGAAGGACACCTCATCAACATATCAAAGAAAGGAGATCTGAGCAAATGTGGGAACTACAGATGAATCAAACTGTCGTCAGTACCAGGAAACGTTTTCAACAAAGTATTACTGAGCCGGATGTAAGACTCAGTAGACGCCCAACTTCGGGATCAACAGGCTGGGTTCCGTAAGGAGCGATCATGCACAGACCGAATCGCCACACTGCTGATCATTTTTGAAAAATCAGTTGAGTGGAACTCGTCACTTTACATCAACTTCCTTGATTATGAGAAGTGTAGACAGGATGACCTCATGTAAAATTCTTTGATACCATGGTGTACTGAGAAAATCGTCAGCAGCATCCGGAATTCATCTGACAGACTACAGTGCAAAGTGATGCATGGAGGACGGCTGACAGGAATACAATGAACACGTTGGATCCAGCTGGACGATTTGCACTTCTCAGATGACCTAGCTCTCCTATCCCATACACGCCGACAAATACAGACGAAGACAACTAATGTAGCAGTAGCCTCTGCATCAATAGGCCGCAACATACACAATGGAAAAAGCAAGATTCTCAAATATAACACGGAGAACACCAAGCCAATCACACTTGATGGCGAAATTCTGGGAGATGTGGAAACATTCACGTACATGGACAGAATCATCGATGAACGAGGATCGGCAAAGGAAGGGCAGCATTCCCAAAATTGACGAACATATGGAACTCAAAACAACTGTCTGCAAACCAATATCAAAGTCATAATCATCATTACGAACATTAAAACAGTTCTACTGTACGGGGCTGAAACGTGGAGAACTACTACAAACGTCAAGATAGTACAAGTATTTGTAAACAGTTGTGTGTGCAAGATACTCAATATCCGTTCACCGGAAACTACCAGCAACAGTCTAGTGTGTGACAGAACAACCCAGCTTCCATCTGAAGAGGAAATTAGAAAAGATATTGGAAGTGGGTAAGACAAACATTGAAGAAATCATCAAACTGCATCACGAGGCAAGTGCTAACTTGGAATCCTAAAAGAAAAATGGAACAGAGGAAGGCCAAAGAACACATTGCGCCTGGAAAAATAAAAGCTTATGTAGAGAGGATGAATAACAACTGGAAAGAACTGGGAAGGATTGCCTAGAATAGGGTTGGATGGGTAATGGCTAGTGTGCGGCCTATGCTCCTCCACGAGAGGTAACTGGTATAAGTAAGTAAGTAGGTAAGTTTGTCACAAATAACAGAGGACTTGTTTAACAGTAAATTTTCATGTGTGCTGACTTTACAAATCGAAATTTCACTTAAGCTTTTGTGGTTTATTAATCTGTCGTTAAATACTGCTATGTAATTTACTGGTACATCTCAAGAGTGTATCATTTAATCTATTGGTTTAATGTGAAAACTTATATTATGAATGATTCCGATGGAATAATGAATAAATATTACATTTTAGACTTTTAAGTAAAATATTGGATCGAGATTTTCAGACTGTTTGTGAACTTAAAGAACTATTTAGAAAACTGTTGCACACCACCAGAGTAGGTGATATACATTGATGATTGCAGTCCACTCGAGTTGGACGGGAATGATTTAACCTCCTAAATTAGATCAAAGACACTTCGCAATTAGCATTTATCCTGGATTATGCTTTCGTGATAACCAGGTGAATTAACATCCTAAGTGACTGGTTAGATTATAGACTCTCACAAGGCAACAGTATATATTGCCTAGGGATATAAGGGAACTGAGGTTTAAGATCACTTCTTGTTTTTTTAAAGGAACTGTGGTCTAAATGTTTGAAGGTACAGAACAAGCCCATAGGATTTAGAGATTTGCAGTAATTTGACTCTCCCGCTCATAACCTAGCATATATCAGACTAACCAGATCTTTGTAAAAAAAAATTCATGTAGTAAAATTATGTACAAACACCAACAGTTACCTTTATTTATGAAGTTTGATCAAAATATTCATTAACTGATACATTATGACAAATTTTCCAACAATCTGACTGGTTTTCGATGATTGATGCAGGTATACAAGATTCAAATAATTGTATATCTATGTCGGAATACAAGATATTATCAATCATGTTACTGTTTAATGTATTAAACCAACTATGTTGGCTATTTTATGCCCAGTTACGCAATTAATTCTAAACACTCATCTGGATATCTTTCTATTAGGCCTTTATCTGTCTGTCTATTAAACTTATTCTGTTATTCCTCTGATCTATTAATATGTGACACTTTAAATACTTGACGATTCGGGCATGTGTCACTAAAATTTAGATCAAGTCTATCTAGTTTAATCCTGGATACATTTGATTACACTAGAGTTCCGAAGTATTTCCATGCTATAGTAATTATTGGTAATTCTAATGCCAGTGTTATTATATTTCCTGTTCAAGTAGTGAAAGCTTCATGTAAAGTACTGATTAGAGATAGTCGGAACGAAGCTCTAAACCTAGGTTTCATGCTGTTGACCACTTGTCAGCAAATTAAAACCGGTATTCCTGAGAAAAATGATGCTCCCTGGTGGACTTGATCCAATGTCACCCAACATCACAGTCAGAGAAGTTACTAGTGAGCTATCCAGGCTACGACTGAACCCCTGTGGGACTGAGATATATTTAAAATTGGATGATCACTATGTAGTGACCAATGTTATGTATGTTAGGTCCTCCTTCATGTTGATCGAATTCTATCGATCAAGTTGCAATGAGGCCACTACTCCAGGTGACTCGACATCGCGTGTACTATGTTCATTTTTTTATCACAATTTATAACATTTAAGGAAAGTGATAACTTCTATAAGATTGAAGTAATGTTCAAATTATTAAAATAGGTGAAATACACATTCAGGTAAAGAGTAACCGGTTGCCATGTTGCACGAAGAAAACTAATCCAGATACATTAGGATGTCTAAGTAAATATACAATGCTCATAAGAATAAATCGGAGTGTATAAGTAAAACACTACAATGTAGGTAATGAGTTAAATAGATAGTTGGAGTTTTCCGATGATATAGAGCCACCAAAATTTTAAGAGGTGGAATATTCCGACCCTATATATTGAAATATTTTGGACCATTACATATTACGATACCCTAACTGTAACTTCATTCACAAATACTGGAATGGATTAAAGAGTTCTGTTAATAAACCCGGTAATCCAATAAGATCTCACATACCAAACTTTAAACCACATCCATGTAAAAGCAACTAGTACTAACTCACTGCTCAAACCGAATTACGTGGAGCTCAATCTAAGCCCGTTACTCACTGAATGGCAATTTAATACTCCAACCAGCAAGAACAGCAGTTCGATTATTCTCCACAATCTCGACAATAAAATAGCAAAGTAAAAAATCTCTGCTCTGAAATATATTATTATAAAATTAGAACATGAAAAATCAGTCAAATAACAAATAAGTTAGAATAAACAATACTAATACTAATACTACTATGAGAATTATCCATAATAGCACAGAAAAGTTTCAAGTTGAGGCTTTGAGGAGGGGCGAAAAAAAACCTGAAAAATTCACATGACAACATAAATAAACATACAATTTGGTAGCATAAAAGATACCTAAATAGAATAATAACAATAATCAATAAATTTACCAACTTATATTATTAAATCCCTTTGAATGAATGTGATAAAAATAAATTATTGGGTTAAAATAAAATGAAATAAAAGATTATATATTACTAACAAATAATATCAGTAGTTAAAACAAAATCAATAAACGATAATTAATTAATTTTGCAATTAAAAAATAACAAAAAAACAAATGCTAAACTTGATTAAATGATAAGTTATATGATTAACTAAACAATATTATTATACAGTATCAAATCATAGATTTTTTTGTATAAATATATAAGTAAATAGATTAGATAAATAAGAGACTAAAACAGTTTAATGCAGTATAAGAAAAAAATGTGACAAGCGTAAGTGTAAGTTCAACGGTACCCACCGGTTTGTCAAAACGAAAATAAAAGTAAGGAGGGTTTTAGTTTTTTGAAATAAAGAAAACCTGGAGGCAATTAAATATTGGTGATTATAATAGACAATAGAAAAAAAAAATTCTTATTAAACTTTTAATCGACATCATTGAGGCTTTCTAATCTACTATTGTTAGATGAAGAGATATGCGGAGAATCTCTAGGTTGATTGAATCGACGAAAATCAAGCATTGAAGATAATTCTGTGCGAATACTAAGTGGTGGATGATAGGCAGTAGTGTGTAAATCTTTTGAGCATGGTAATGAAACTGATAGTTGTGGAGGACTTGGAGATACACTAGTTGAATGATAACTACTAGAATAATTTTCATGATGTGGGGTAGTGTTATTTTCAGGAGAGGCTGGGGGATCCGGAGTCCAGTAACACTCACCTATATTGGCAAAAAAAATAGCTGCATGTGTTTAGGACTATACGAAGATATTTTATATAACATACAAAATAAATTGTAACTGAGAAAAAAAAACATCACAGTCCAAAAAAGTGCCAATGAAAATACAGTTTGGTAAATATACAACATATGGATGTAAAAGGAAAGCCATTTCAAGATTTTACCGTGAACAGGTAGTGATTAATTTTAAGAAACTGGGTTGAAAGTTAATTTAAACAGATTCTTTTAGCAATGGGTCAGCAAAAATGTAAGAAGTAACGTTCGGTTTATGGTATATATTATGTGGCGGCTTTAACTAGGCAGCTAATGGAAACCACAGAGCACTGAGCAGTTATTTCGTCCCTATATAGGGTCTTTCGGGAGTGTGCTACACTATTTCGAGCCCACGACCTCTAGATCCCACAGCAAGTTCATTATCTTCAGGTTAATTAGCTAGCAGCATCTCGTAATCTATATTTCGTGATGGTCCTAGTCTCGATACGTGGTAGTCTTGCAGGGTTGGGGGCTGATTATCTATGACAACTGCTACTATGTTTAGTAGAGTTCCAGAATATTACGGGAACACAAGGCCATATAAAATACTATAAAAACCCTAGATTTTCTATACATAAACGAACCTTGGAGTAAATTATTTCTCTCATACTTAGCTCGTTTTCTCTCACGTTCAAGTCGCTGTGTAGATTTAGCCTGGGGGTTAATCGAAAAGCTTAGGGACCTGGTGTGTGAGCGAGAATGATAATGATTGGTTGTTTTGCTTAATCAGACTTGAGATAATGTGACAGGTGTCAAATAAGTTATATATTCTCCTGTCCCTATTATTATTATTGATTGTCCGTTTGTTGCTGGATTGTGTCGGCTTTTGGTGTGGAAATATATTTATGTTCTTGTCAAGCTAATCACGTGTTCCTGATCTGAGTTGCGATGAAGTCCTGTAGAGTAGACACTGGGAAGGAATCTAGTGTAGATATTCGTCTAAGGTAAATTAACGTCTCATTGGTGTAAAAAGGAAAACTGACCGTTATAACAGAACCAAATCTAGCGTTGAATTAGAAGGTTGATCAAATTATAATGTTTTTTATACAATTCGTACAAATCTACCTAGATTTATTTCTACCCAACTCCTCAATAAACAGCAGAAGCTCTTGTCATCCATGAGTTGAAATCACAGTCAGTCAGTCAGCTACAACGTAGGACCAGGCACATATATGGAGTCACAACTGTGAATACAAAAGAAGTACATTTTATCCTTATTGTTACCTAGGCCCTAAACCATTATTATTACTGTTATCATTATTATTATTTCATCTCGTACTTGAAGATATCTCCCTCTCCATTTAATTAGGTCTCATATCCTTATGATTTTAGTCATAATTGTTTCCGATATCACTACATTTAATTTTTATCCCTATATTACCTTGGATTATTGTCACAAAAACATTCTAATCATTTTACTTCATTTATATTACAATCCGTTGATAACTTATGAAGTTTACAAGGCTTTCTATCTTTTATTATTTTTACTCACATCACATAATCTAGTATTATAATCTTTCTATTACATCATCATGTTTATTGCTTGTTCATATGCCCTCACTGAAATAATACTTTAACAAACATTTTTATATACAGAAAGGGTTTTGTGGAAATTTAGTATTTTCATAGTTCAAAGCGTTAGTCAATTGAAGCTAGACCATCATGGAAAACCTGGTAGGTACTAGGTTCGAATCACTCGAGGCTAGGTCGTGCATGCGCACTGCTGAGGAGTCCCACAATAAAACGAAACAGCCGTTCAGTGCTTGCAGGTCTTTCTTGGTGGTCTAGCTTCAATTGACTCACGCTTTCAACTATTTTTATATACGATTGAACAGCTTGGTAACAAATTTGTTGAAAAAGATATCCCATCGCTGAACTTAGTATTGTTATATAACTATTCATTTAATTCTTATTCGTAGATAGATTTTAATGACTAATTTTCTTTAAATAGTGAGAGTACAGTAATATCTTCAAAATGTAAATGTCGCTTTAAACCTAGTATACAAAAAAATTGTAAATATAATAAATATTTAGGGGCAAAACTTAAAGATCCTTAGTTTTGGATTGAGATCATGAATCGATAGATGTTACACCATCACTGAAAATCTAAAAGCACTGTACGACAGTTTCGTCCTCGTATGGGACTCCTTAGCAGTTTGATTGTGTGTAGTTGATTTTACTGACTAGATAGTTCTAAACTATAAAAAAAAATAACTCTAATTATAATGTCGAACTTGAGAAGTTTTCAACCAATCAGAAAGCGGTCGATATGAGTGAATTATTGAATTAAAATATGAAATTAATGAATAACTTGTTTTAACATAATTAATGAAAAAAAGTTCGCTACAGTATTTTAGATGTTTACGGTCAGTTTATATGTACCATAGTCTGCTTTTACCAAACACTGAAGCGACATATTATATCATCTCGTACTTCACTAAATTTGTTGATAATCATTTCATCTTCGAATTCATAAATGAGCGTTTTTATTAACAATCTACAGTCAATTATATAAGTGATGTTGTGTTCATTAAAATTAACTATTACACGAAGAATGGTCTCGAGGTCCCTTTCTTAATCTTGATTAGCTCGTTATAACATGAAAACCTGAACTTAATTAACTCTAGTTAGCAATCGTTCTTCAAGCTGTTGTCAATGAGTAAATATTATTGGTAACAATTTGATTTAATTCATATTATTAACTTACATATTGAAAAACATATTATGAGTTTGAGATGGTGGAGAAGATTTATAGCTCAGGTGGATGATTTTGATAGTTTTGTTCTCTAAGCTGGATTTTGTCGTTTCCGATATACCTTTTATGTATGGTAAGGTGATCCTTTTGTTGATTTCTGTACTTTACTTCGTTTCTGATGATGGGTGCGGCTGGTATTTTTTGATGAAATTGATTGGATAGCAATTCTTTTGGAGAATGGTTTTCAGGTATTTTTCTTCATTTTTCCGTGCTGTATTTGTTTTGCAGTGTGTCCTTGCCCTCTTGAACAAAGTTTGTATACAGCTGATTTTGTGAGCTCTTGAGTTGTTGCTATTGTAGTTGAGAATTTGATCAGTGTGGGTCTGCTTCTTGTACACCTGAGTCTCCAGTTCACCTGTGTCGGTTCTGGTGATTAGTATATCCAAGAATGATAGCTTGTCGTTCGGCTCTTGTTCAGTGGTGAAATTGATGTCATTGAAGACGTTGTTGATCAGCCTGTAGGTGTTTTCTAGTTCATCCTTTTTGACGATGACGAATGTGTCGTTTACATAACGCACCCAAATTTTTGGCTTGATCACTGGTAAGATCGCGGTTTCTAGTCTCTGCATTACTGCTTCTGCGACAATTCTGATATTGGTGATCTCATCGGTGTCCCTTTTGTTTGTTCGCAGATTTTGTTTTTGAATCGGAAATATGTTGTTAGGCATTAATCTATGAGTTCGAGTAAATTTTGACTTTGAAGCTTCGTGTATTTTGCGAGATTTTTGTCACTGATTAGAAGCAAGGATAGAGTTTCTTTTGCTAAGCTTAGTTCAATTGAAGTGAATAGCGCCGTTACATCGAAGGATATCATTAGCTCGTCGTCGTTGATTGGAATGTTCTTAATCTGATCAAGGAATTGTGTGGCGGATTTGATGGAATGGTTCGACGAATCCACTAAATGTTTCAGTATTCGTGAGATTTCTCTTGACAAATTGTACGTTGGCGTTCCCGGTAGAGCTACAATTGGACGTAGTGGGATGTTTGGTTTGTGTATATTCGGCGTACTGGTCCATTGGATTTCATTCTCCCTCGATCTTGCTTTGTTATTTCTCCTGCTTTGACGAGCTTGTTTAAAGTCTTTGAAATACGATTGTCTAGCCTTTTGACTGGATTTAAGTCCATCGGTTTGTATGTGCTTTTGTCCTCGAGTAGTTCTTCGGTTTTCTTGATATATTCTTATTTGTCCATAATCACTTTGGTGCACCCTTTGTCCGCTGGAACGATGACAATATCTTTTCTAGTTCTGAGTTTCTTCAAAGCTGTTTGTTCTTGTGAAGTCAGTTAGTTGTTGCCCTTCATCAGTTGAGTTAGTGGTACCATAGTTTGTCTTATTTCAGCTCAGAGAACAAAACTCCATCAAAAACATATGAGTAAACAAAGACAAATTATAGTTATTTACTAACCTTCTTCAACTTTTCCACAGCTAATAGAACTTCCAATTTCTTGATCAACTTTCAAAATTGATGCAATGGTTAATGTTCTTTCTTCTTCAGGCAATAATAATAATGATGAATTGGATAAAGTAATACATGAATTTTTCGTCGATTCATCAATTGGAATATCTTCTTTCAACTTATCAATTGTATTGTTATTATCACCACTGGTAAGGTGTAAATCAGACAAATGTTTTTGTGCTATAACAACACAGTTGTTGTTAACATGAATTTTCATATCTAGAACAGTGAATAAATGAATAATTGGAAACTTCTACACATTAAATGAGGAAGGGGATGGAAACATTATTACCCCTTGGCTAGTATTAATACAAATTTAAAACTTATTTTTAATAATTGTTAGATAGAAAAATGGTAAAATAAACGTTATTCATATTTGAAAGGTGACGAGGAACGAGGAGAATACAAAGAGAAAAACAAGTAAATAAGTTTGTTTATAGATGATTCTGAACAATAGATTATGATTAGTGATACGTTAATACGATCGTTGATTTCGCCACTGTTGATGTTTTCGCAAAGCAAGGACAACAAATATTTTGGGGCACAGTGAAAAAGGTATTATCTAGGATTTAGGAACACAAGCCGAACAGTCCTATCGTAAATGGCTCCAAACTACTCAGTAGTGTAATAGGAAAGCATATATTGGATACAGTTCATTCAGTGATTTTCTTCATTAATGAGCTGAATGACTTGATACATGTTACAGACCAAATCACACTTATAAGGCATTTTACTTATTTATTTATATAAGCCAGTGGAGTGGATGCGGAAAATTTAGGAGTGAGCAAAAGAAACCGTGTTGCACGTATATTTTAAGTATATACCATTAGGTTCGTATACTTCGTAAGCGTAACTACCTGGTGTTCACTTTACCGAGTACTGAAATTATTGTCAATGATCATGTATAGATATCTATGTACAATTTACCAGCGATGCTTGTTAAATGGTGGTAGCTGGAGATAATGCATTGGTTTCATCTAAACTAAATGGATGAATAACTTATGATAAGGATATTGTGAAGATTGTTGGATTTTATAGTCTGCAATCTATATTACGGACTGATCTGAGTTAGGTAATCATCGGAAACCAGGAAGGATTGAACAGCTATTTTGTCCTAGTCTAGGGCCCTTCAGTAGTGAGCATCTATGACATCATCGAGGTTTGACACAGAACTTTCAGACCATCTAGTTGTTATATAATGCTTTCTATTATTCTAATCTCAATCAATTCGTGATGTCACAGAATCCTCTTTTAATATCGTTGATGGGCAACCGTCTCACATTCAAAGATGGTTGAACTTCATTGGGTTCACGACTTCTGAGTGGAACTCCAAAAATCCCTTCTAGAAATCAGTCATTAGTAAGTATATGACGATGAATGTTTGAATCACTAAAGCATATCCCAACTGTTCAACTGTTTCAAATTTGTTATATCCCGAAGAAAATTATGAATGGTAACTTTGAGGACTATTTATGGACCAATGTGATATGTATATTTCCTATTGTATAGTTGCTAAGTAACTTAACTATTCATATTCATGTTTCTTTTATTATGAGCTTTATTTTGACCGATGGACTATTATTATACGGTTTATCATTCTTGAGTTATCCTTAGTCCGTTAATTACTGTTCCCCCTATTCACAAGCACATTTGGCCAAATCTTGTACAAATGTTATTTCTTATTTTATGGTACGATGTGATCAGTTTGTTTGGTATATAAACCCAGTATGCTTGAGAATAATGATTCATATTGCAAGGGTTGTTATTGGTGTTCTGGACTTAACTAGCTGGGCAAGGCAGATAGCAGGACTGAGAAGTACTCAAGACTGCTCGTACGGGTTTTATGTGTCACTGGGCCGATCAAGATATCACTGCTCTCTACTTGGCGGCATCGTCACGTTGTATATTAACAGGGCACACAGGCCACACGTTATAACACAAATCTTTTTTTACTGAAGAGGGGCATCATATATTTATAATACTTGCTAATACTTGATAACGAGTTTGGGATAAATAAGATGCCAATATCATAAAATAAAATATATCGTTAACAATATTCAAAGTGATAAAATAACAACAATGGATGGTGGCTAGCAACGAAACCCAGGACGTACGTTTCGTTCTATTAGGGACTGCTCAGGTGGATGTAGCTACACCCCAAAATTAACTTGTATCCTGTTGTTATAATTGTTTTGCTAATAAACGAACCAGCTACTCCTATTACTCAGTATTCTTAGACAAATGACACTTGACAATACCCAAAAAATCAGAACACGTTGAACAGGAACGAAATTGTATTCAAAATAACAAGGGTAGGTGAACAGTAATCAATCGTTCGAAAAAACGTTTATATATTTATAGTATATGCATAAGAAGCTTCTAGATGCTTCTCCAATAATCTGCCAGAGCTGGTTGGTTTATAATTAGCCAATCAGCGTGCGCCGTCACGACCATGCATATAACGTGCCTTAATCTGGTTTATTTCCCGCTAACATCTCTATTTTACTACTAATCACATTTCATCTATCATACTGGCTAAATCAAGGCAATCTATACAGGATGTGAAGATATTTCAATCAAAATTATTCAGATTTCAGTCACAAAAACATCAATATAAAAGGATAATTCCAAACCATTACAAGTTAAATTAATGATAAAAATAGTTACCTGAAACTTTATCAACATCCTCTGTTTTTATTTCCAATTTTTGTGAATTTATTATTGAATTCGTTACAGTCGAAGAGTTGTAAATATCAATTTTAAAAATAGAATTGGATTCAGGAAGAGAAGAAGAAACTTTCTGTTGTATACAACCCTCTGAGGATGATGACAATAGTAAGGGTACTGAAGTATTCGTTTTAAAATCAATCACATTTGAACTCTGTAAATTGGATTGATTATTTATGGTTACAGTGGTGATACTCATTTGATCAGTGTTTGATGAATTCACTACTGTTGGAGTTGTTGCTGTTGTTGTTGTGATGGTTGTTGTGGTTATAGATGATGAAATATACGTGACGACAGGAAGCACACTATTTGATGTAGCAGTAGTAGGAGTAGTAGATATAATGAATGAAGAGTTTCGATTACTGAAGTAATTTACTAGATATGTAATACAAATAGTATAACATAATTATCATCAAGCTATACAATTATATATATATATATATATATATATATATATATATATATATATGCGTTGAAACTCTTGTTAATCTAACTAGAATGCTATGCTCAAACAAAGAAAAGAAGTGGCGGACAGACAGTTATTGAAAAGAACCTTATAAAAAATGGATAATCAAAGAAATTCCTTAAGAAATATGAAAAAGAGCATCCTAAAAATCACATATAACTGATTGTTTGGAAAAAGCCTGTTCTCATTTGTTTTCTGTTCAAAAGAAATGAGATTTCATGAAAAATTGATGGGCGAATCAGAGTGGTACTGAAGAGAAGCGTTGCTGACGCTCGACTGGTTTCACTGTACACTGGACAACTGAACGAATAGAATCACAAAAGCTGAGTGCAGCTTTCTTTAGAGATGTTAACAAGCTGAATGAGTTCAGGATAGTTCTCAAAAATAATTTTCAAACTTCATAAGATCTAATAGAACAGGAAACTACTAAGGATAACAACCACAAATGGATTAGAGAAGCAATAACTTTAACAAGCAACGTGTTAGACCACATGAACCACCAGCATAGGCAATGGGTTTCTGCAGGCAAAATGAGCAAGAAAGGAGAAACAAGAAGACACTAGTCAACAACAGCCAAACAAGAACACACAGAAGCATATGAGTGAAAAGAGTATTAGAGCCGAAAGATGAAAATATGTAGACCTCGAAGTGACAACACAAAAGGCTGAAAGAATAGGAAATATTAAAGGAAGCTAGCTGGAAAATGTATTCGGCCACAACAACCAGTTAGAAAAGAAAGCAAACCAATCATTGAAGTTCAAGAAAAACAGGACAGAAGCGTAGAACACTTTGAAGAACTTATTGTATAGACCAGCCTCACTGAACCCACCGGGAATCAAGCAATATACACAGACATCCCTATAGATGTTACCCTACCAACAATAACGGAAACCAGAAAGGCCAACAAATGAACAAAAAGTACCAAAGTAGCAGAACCATATGGCATACGCGCAAAAGTGCTGAAGTCAGATACAGAAGTAACTGAGAAGATGCTCTACACTCTCTTTCTAAAAACTTGAAAAGAAGATAGACCAGAAAGAATTTTAGATCAGAATATCGAAGGAGATTTTACTTATTTTAAGAACTACAGAGAGATCGTACTGCTGTCAGTGCCAGGAAAAGTTATCAACAATGTTGTTAAACAGAATGAAGGATTTAATAGACACCCAGCTTCGAGGCAAACAAGCCGGACTTTGTAATGATAAATCGTATACCGACCAAATTGCAATATTGCGGATCGTTGCCGAACAGTCAGTCGAATGGAACTTATCGCTATACATCAACTTCCTTGACTATGAGAAAGCATTCGACAGAGTGAATAGGAGCACCTCATGGAACCTTCTTTGATACTACGGAGTACTTGAGATTTTCACTACCATACAGAACTCCTACGAGAGACTAAATAGTAAAGTCATGCACAGAAAGAAGCTTAAAGATGCATTTCAAGTGAAGACTGGTGTCAAATAAGGCTGCTTACTCTCTCCATTTCTCTTCATTCTGGTTGTTGACTGAATAATGAAGACCCTAAAATCTCAAGGAAGGTATGAACTAAAGTGGACACCTCGGCCGAATGACTTTGACTTCGTAAACGGCATGACCATCCTATCACATATACAGTAACAAATGCAGAAGAGGCCAACTAGTGTTACAGTAACTTTCCCAAAAGTAGGCCTGAACATTTACAAGGTAAAAAGCAGGATACTGAAATACAACACAGTAAGCATTAACTAAGTCACACTTAGATGGTGAAGGCCTTTACATACCTCGAAAGTATCATTGGTTAACAAGAATATGATGCAGATATGAAAGCACAAATCGGCAGAGCAAAACAGATATTTCTACAATAGAATGATAATCTGGAGTTCCAAATAACTGTCACTCAGGACCGAAATCAGAATTTTCAATACAAACATTAAGACATACGAATATTCGTCAATATTAGAATGAATAGTTAGACAAAAATTGGACGCCAAGTATACAGAAGTCATTATATGTGAAAATTATATATGAAATTATCTCAGCGATTGAAATTTAAATGATTTCAACGTTTCGTCCAGTAAACAAGTCTGGACTTCTTCAGGGTAATAATCGAAATCATCAATGAAATATAAAGCGTTTAACAGTCAAATCAAATCAGATCTTTACTGTACTTTTCTAATCATTTCCAGATATTGACTTTGGTAATCAGAATAACATGAGTCAATTATATGCGAATCATGTGAAAATAAATGAATGAGCGGTTGCGTGTGTATGTGCAAGATTGAGTTATTAAAGGATATTAAAGTAAAAATAAAAAATAAATGTGCAAGTTGAAGGCCGAAAAATTGTTTTTGAATCATCAGTGTGTATGCAAAATGAGAATAATCAAACACATGATTATGTTGCTGAAGTAACCCAGATCAATTTCATTCAGAATAACGATGCATGTGAAATAAACAGGTTGGATAGATAATTGGTTCAATTACTTGTTAATGAACATTTGTCAAGTGGTAGCTAGTTGAATACTATCCATTCTGTTCAGGCTGTACTTATTAGCCCATATATACAGCGCTTCTACTGTCAACCTTTCTGAAGTATTATGGTTCCTTCAAAAGTGATATTGTGTCCTGTTTCCAATGAATGTAGCGCTATCGCCGACCTATTCTCAAGTATCTTCAGACCAACAGAGGGTTTGAGAAAATTTTTCACACATTGTTTGTGTTCCTTCAACGTCAAATCCAATTGTTTTGAAGTCTCTTCCACATACGCTGTATTACAATCATAACAGTTGACCTCATACACAACATTATGTTGTTCTTCCCTTGTAAACCTATCCTCAACTTTCACTAATGCCGATCTTGTGATGTCACTAGCCCGAAAATGCAATTTTATAGGATGTTTGTCTAGAATCCTCATGTTTTCTTCCGATGTTTCATTACGGTATGGGATGACCGCAGCGAACTACCAGTCTTTCGGTGTACATTCTAGTTCAGGTTTTCTATCATTTCAAACAATCTTCTTTAAAAACTCTTTGGGGTAATTGTTAGCCCTAAGAGTAGACAAAGTTCCATTCACAGTTCAATTTATTGATCTTCTTCATCTGTAATGAGATCAGTAGTCCAGTTTATTAAGTTTTTAACCAGTGTGACTTTCGTACAATATGTATTAGTCGAACCGTAATCTAAGTATCTCTCAGGATGTGTTGATTTCCTGAATACATTTACTTTAAACTTATTGTTATTACGTCTTCGTTCAACCAAACATTAGAAAAACAGCAGTTTATGGTCGTTGGACTCTATTTCCTTTGTTGATGCTTGATGCTCTCCGAAATATTGTTTACGTTGGAATTATTTAAGTACCAATCGCTGAGATTATTTCAAATATAATTTTCACATATAAATATTAAAACAGTTTTACTGTATGGAGCTTAAACTTAAAGTACTACTAAATTCATCATCAAGAACGAATTTATAAGTATTTATAAACAGTTGTCTAAGCAAGATACTCCGAATCCGTTCAAGAGACTCTATGAGCAATAATCCTACTCTGACAAAGAACAAACCAGCTACAAGTTGAGGAGAAAATTAGATGAGTCAATAGTCACTGTATGATTACATTATTATCATAATTTTCGGTTCCTTTAAAAATAAAACACTATCTCAACTTCACTAATCAATGTATATTAAACCTTTATTTATTGATTATATTACTCCAGCTAATTTTAAGCTGTTTTAATAGCTAATAAAATGTCGTAAACTAGAATGATGAATTCATTTTATTCTACAAACCTTGTTGCTTTTACTCTGTTGAAATTCATCAAAAGATCTGATCACTCATTTCAAAGTCAAAGGATAAAAAAACAGCAATGAAATATCAATAATTCAATTTACCAGGATATCGATTGTTAAAATTTCCAGGTGAGATTTTTCTTCCTGAAGTCTGATTTCTTTTCCATCCCAATGAACCTATGGTGCATTATTTTTATTTTATGTTTAAAATAAGATAAACGTACATGGTCACCAAAAATTGAGAAAAATTAACATTGTAAATATGACACAATACAATAATTCGATATTATTGATACAATCTAATCAAATTAGTAATTCTGAGGTTAGACGCAGAGTATTCAGTAAGAATGGCAAGTCAATTGACGAGGAAGTAAATCTTTATCGACTGAAATGATCATGACATGTATTACGTATGTTCATTTACCGAATAACTTGACACGCGATCATAGCTGGTGCGATAGTAGGTTGGAAGAAAGTTCGGGATGCCTAAACCAAGACATGTGTGGCGCATATGTATCTGGTGCCCTTTTGTACCAATATATATGTGTTTAAATAAATAATAATAATAAATAACCAAGACATAGGATCAGTCTGCGACGACAATGGTTATTGGAACGAGCTATGTATGTAAGCGAATAATTCTTGATTGGGGTCCAGGTGATTATCGTAATCAATGGTTAGAGACTTTGGGTAACATGGTTCAAAATCGTTCCCAATGGTTTAGGTGCATTGAATCCTTATCTAACGTTAGATCCTAAGTTTCTAAATTCCTCATAAATCTTTTTTACCATTTCACTAACTCATATTTTCTTCTCAAATTGTTTCCTAGATCCATAATCTTATCTGTTACCATTAAAACTATTTAATACATGGATTATGTCTAAAATTATTTGTTATATAAACGCTTTTAAGAATATGTTCCAATGATTGATGTCTTAATTACGTATTTTATGAATAGTTTCACATTGGGTTATAAGCAAATTTTGAACCATACGAAAAAAACTCAAGGATCAGATAAATATCACATTTATCACTACTCAATGATTGGTCAATTATAAATATTCTTCTTTACCCTGATATACGTTCCAATAAATACCGCATCTTACAAACACAATAGTTTTCGTACTCTTTCTATTTAAACTAAATTATCAGATATAAGAATAAATATGACAATTCTTCTTTTCACAAAATAAACGAATATCTAAAACTCAGTCAGTCAGTCGGTCATACAAAACATAGAACCTGACACAGATGCATCAGTTTAAGTTGGCATACCATAGTAACTGAAGCGGTCAACACACTCAACCATTTCATTCCTTATCATTATTATGGGGCGCTGACGTAGGACAATCATGAAGTAAATTAAACTACAGGTTTAGTATAGAGTTGAGTTTAGTATATATTAAAATATATAATTTGTTAATGTTTCTAAATCAGATAAGCTCTAAAACCAATGTATCATGTGTATGAAAATTATAGTGATAAGAACATTCAGAAGTGTAATTCTGTCAAAAAAAATAAATGATTCCATGGAATTAAAAAAAAGAAATTAAAGTCAAATAATTCATCAAGTACTTGGGTATGAGCCACTCTCTAAGCGTGATGCGAGCCAATAATAATATCTAGTTAGTTGAATCACAGTAGGCGGAGCGCAACGCGAATTTTGGACTTAGTGGCTGAACATCTCTTCCATGGAATGAAAGAGACACGATGTTATATTAAATACCATAATATTTATTTATTTATTTATTTAAACACATATATATTGGTACAAAAGGGCACCAGGTACATATGCGCCACACAAAATAATGAAAGTAGGTAGATAAAGGATGAAAAGATAAGGCGGGCTGAAATGTACAACCAGAAGATTCTTTCAGTTAGGAAAGTTAGAACCATTCTTTATGTAGAAAGTAAAAGAAGGTTGCAGCAGGATCGCCACTGGCTTCTATTCTGAGCCATATCCGATAACGTCTCTAGCCACTGTGTTGCACTATCTCTCGGACCCCAACCAGGGAGTCGTGAAGGACCAACGGAAGCTAGCCCTTTGCAGCTTTCTTTCATGCCACGACACCATGTCATACACTGACCTCCTCTCCGCTTTCTCCAACCAGTCCCAGGGTCGGCAAATAATGCACGACGCGGAAGTCTCTGGGACGACATTCGTAAAACATGTCCGAGCCACCGAAGTCGGTGTTTCAAGATGGTGACACCAATTGAATTATCGTCTCTGCGCCCGAACACACGATGCCGAACCTCTGCATTACTAACATGGTGTTGCCACTGGATGTCAGCAATCCTTCGGAGACAACGATGATCGAACACAGAGAGACGTCTAACATCCTCAACTCGGAGAGGCCAGGTTTCACAAGCATAGAGCAAAACTGCTCTCACCGACGCGTTGTAGATCCGACCTTTTACAGCCAGACTAACATCACGAAGGCGCCAAAGATGGCCCAGATTGGCATAAGCCGCTCTGGCTTTCATTATACGTGCATCAATCTCATCACTCACGCCACCACCAGCACTTATATAGCTACCTAGATACACGAACTTCTCAACTACTTCGATCTCCTCACCATCCAGGGTGAGTACAGGATTAGAATCCTGCCAGTCTTGTAGAAGTACTTTGCACTTGGAGGGTGCAAAGCACATGCCGTACCTGCGGACACTGATTGCCAACTGATTAAGTGCTGATTGCATGCCTTGGGCATTATCGCACAGTAAGACAATATCATCCGCATACTCGAGGTCGAGAAGTCGTTCTCCAGGCAACATATCCACACCGCCATTACTTACATCCATCAGAGCTGTTTCTAGGATGTCGTCGATGGCAAAGTTGAAGAGGAATGGGGAGATCGGGCAACCCTGCCTAACCCCACTGCTCGAATGGAACAAGGGAGAAAGGTGGTTGTATGCCCTCACTCTGCCTGAGGTGTTCGTATACAGGGCTTTTAAGATGTTAATGAACTTCTCAGGCACACCCTTCTTCAATAGACAATCCCAGAGAACAGTCCTGTCCAACGAATCGAAGGCAGCCCTGATATCAAGAAACACTACGATTGTTGGCCTGCGATAAGTATGACGGTGTTCTAACATTTGGCGGAGGGTGAAGATGTGATCAATGCATCCTCGACCAAAACGAAAACCAGCCTGCTCCTCGCGAGTCAATCGTTCTCGGGTTTTAAACAACCTACGAAGAATGATAGAAGCCAATAGTTTGGACGCGATCGAAAGTAGACTTATCCCCCGATAGTTGCTACAGGAACAACGTGAACCCTTTTTAAAGATAGGGACGACTATTGACTCATTCCAAAATGTTGGAACACTTTCTTGCTCCCAAACCTTTCCAAACAACGCAGTCAGTTCCTTAGCCAGAAAGTCACCACCATCTTTAAAAAGAGCCGGAGGTAAGTCATCTGGGCCAGGTGATTTATAACGTTTCAAGAGTTGGAGTTCCTTGCGGACTTCCGCCTCGTTTGGTGGATCAGTCGTCACCGGCCATGGGGAGCAGGACAAGCTGGTTGATGTTGCCGGAGCAGCAGACCAGTTGAACTGCCCTTCGAAAAATTCCGCCCATCGTCCAAGACGTCGACAGATGTTAGTGATTGGCATCCCGTCATCCTCGTAGATTGTTTCACTCACACCAGACTTCTTGCTGCCAGTGGCTCGGATGAGTTGGAAGAGCTTCCGGCAGTTACCAGATGCAGCTGCTGCTTCCATCTCATTAGCACGCTCCGACCACCAGGCTTCCCGGTCCTTACACAAGCTTTGCCCGATTTCATTACGTAACAGCCTTCGTTTGTGGTCAAACTCACGGTCACCCGGAGTAAACCGACGGGCTTCCATCAGTTGTAAGGAGTCAGAAGAAACCCAGTGCTTGTAAGCGGGACGTTTCGCGAAGCCGCAAGCGGCTTTACTCGCCATTTTCATGGCGTCATGAAGATGCAACCAATGCTTACCTATACTTTTCGGTGGGGTGGTAGCTAGCCTAGAGGCTAGCTCCGCTCGATACTTACTTGCAACAGAAGTTGCAGCCAGTTTACTAATATCAATCCGTTGGTGGTGGTCAATCCTTCGGCCACTGAAAAGTAAGGTGAGATTGGCGCAGACCAGGGCATGATCAGAGTCCAGATAGGTACTCCAAAAGGAGCGGCAGTCTTGTACACAACCACGCCAGCGGTAGCTGATCGCGATGTGATCAATCTGAGTCCAGGCTTGGGATGCAGAGGGAGGACGCCAGGTGGCACACCGGCGATGACTGTGCCGGAAGTTAGTGCTGGCCAGAAACAGGTTGTGGTCTGTGCACAGTTGCAGCAAACGGTCCCCGTTATCTGTCCTGCGACCAAAAAGTCCCCATCGGCCACCTAGACGACTCTCTTCTGTGCCTAGACGCCCGACCTGTGCATTCAAGTCTCCGGCTAGTACTACAATATCTGTCGAACGCGCTTTCTGGAGAAGAACTGTTAACTGATGGTAAAACTCATCCTTGATTGCATCCGGGCTGCAATCTGTCGGGGCATAGGCGGAGATGACGAAAAGACACCGTTTCTCACGCCGATAATATCATAATATCACTTATATTATTAGTAGTATGAGTTTGAGTTAATCCGTTGTTGATATTCAGGACTGAATACTGATCAGTTTTTGTTTCATGTATCATTTGTGTATTCTACGGATTATCTTAATACAACTGTTTTGTTACAGGTTTTAGGAAAAAGATGGATCGTGGCTAGCAACGGAATCCAGGGAGGAGACGGCATATTTTATTTTATTTGGAACTCGTTAACTGAATATACCTGTATCCGATTCCATAAAGAACTTGTGACACAATTTATAATATTAAGGTGATAAGCACAGTATTTACATACGTCAACAAAGACTGGTCAAACTCGCACTAAAAATGACATAAATATCAAACACATTGAACAAGTTAGTGGTTATTTGAACCCAGTAGCTCAAAGGATAAAGCATTAGCGTACGAATTGAGAAGTCCCAATATGAATATCAACACAGGAATGCAAATAAATTTAACTGAAAAATCACAAACAGGATGAAACTTGTATTCTGGACTCCATTGTTAGCCATAATGTGTATCTATTTCATAAAACTACTATGACCGTAAAAGAGATGAAGTAGAATCGATGGCTAGTCGGAAGCACTAAACCTGTTTCATGTCTACTCATGTTATTTCATATGAGATATTTGTAACCAATTAACAAGAAGCCTTACCATTTATCAGTGTAATCTTGTGTAAACTAATGATCTCTTATAGAAAGTTGACCAAATATGTGAAAACAATGGTGATGAGTGATAATTCAAATTGATGTTATCGTTGAAAAGTACTGCTTGAAATGTAGCAAAGTGACAAAAATATTGAGCCCTAGTAGGCGTAAGGGAAACGAAAGCTTTTAGTAGTGACATTTGGGACTCTTACTAAACCAAGTATTCTATAACTGTCTCAAATCACAACCATATTCTTGAACCATCTTTATTTCTCCACACGCTAATATAAATGAAGTATACAGAAATTGAATTAAACAAACATACTGATTACCTTATTAGTAATTATTTAGACTTTCCAGTAACTTACCTGTATTCATACCCTTCCCCATTTGATTTGTAACATATCCACAACTTTGTTTACGTCTAGGATAACTATTACAACTGCTCATCGCAACACCATAAGTGTTACTACTGACATTATTACTACCGCGTCCATGTGTTGTATTACTAATAGTTGTAGTAATAGTAGCTAGTGTAACAGGTAAATCATTCACTCTACTACCGCTACTACGACCAATAATATTTGAATCAATTATCGAAGGTGAATCATTACCACTATTACTATTACTACCATTATTATTAGATTGGGTGTTGGCAATTTGTCCAGACGAAGAATTATCAGATAAACTAGTTCTTGATGAAGTCATATCATTTGATGATGATGGGCTGTCATTATTATTAGTAGTAGAATCACCAGATGTAGTAAGCTGATTGTTAATAGCTACTGTTGTCAGTGTGTCAGTATTTATTGTTGTTGCTCCGGTACAGCAGGATTTTGTAACAATATTATTCGAATGTAACAGACGTGCATGAAACTGTTCCCATTCTAAAGAAAGGAATCAGAGGAAATACCACTAATATTAATATTACTTGAAAAGCATCAAATTAGTATCAACTAATGCAGAAAAACTGCACAGCTAATTAAGCTATGAATTATATCTCACAGTATATGACTGTTAAAACTGAATTTTTAGTGATACATGATCGGAAAGATCGACAAATTTCGTACTTTCATATGACGGACTCACTGGTTTTTGATAGTCACCTATTCAACTAATATCAATCCGTGAGATAGAACTACAAAATTCGGCAGTCTTTATAATCCTCTATGTTGAAAATTCATTATGTGCTTGTTAACAACTGACTTTGAGAGATAATTCTCCGAGTTCTACTAAGATGTGATCTGTGGAATCTAGTCATGTCGGGAGTGAAACAGTTAAAAATGGCATTGAATGATGGCTAAACAGTATTGCAGACTGACTGAAGTTAGGCAATCAAATCACTTGATCTCGGTCTAGTAGTCTGAAGGTTAGGTATTCGCTGGTGTCATGATTAGTTCTACACTGGAACGAAACAGATATTCAGAGTTTCCTCGTTTCTAATGGCTGCCTAACAAACTAGAAATTAAATTTGAATATGATTAATTATTGAAGAATTGTGTTTTTATTACTTGGTCAGGAAACTATGAGTCAAAACGTACAGTGTAAGATCTATTGACATTATATGACAAGTGAAACTTCGATAGAGAAGTTGAGGTTTGCATTTGTAACCTATTGACTGAAAATTACATGTCTAAGTTATGCTAATGACTTAATTTAAACAACCTGTGATCACTATTAATCCCCTAGACTGTGTAAAATATTTAAGTAGTGCTGTTGAAATCCGGAAATCGGTTATAAACTGTCTTATGTAAAAGATGATACATTTAATGCACAACTTTGAACTTCCTAAGATACTTAGTTATACAAACTAATTAACCAAGGGTTTCATCGTGAACTCACTGCTAAGCTATTAGTAACACCAATTCTGACAAAATGAAGAACGCTACTTTCCGGTATAAACAGACCCTAAATTAATATCGCAAAACTTATCCATAGCACATTTAAAGAATTATTTGTATAGCCAGTTTCTGAATATTAGCAAAGCTTAAATCACAGGATATACCAGAAACTTTCTTCGATATAAAAATTCATCTAAATAGTGCATAAATAGAATAATGTAACTCAGCAACTCCATGTATTTTTTGTAATTGAGTTTGAGTCAAAGTTATGCATGGTGGGAGATGGCTTTAAGGTTAAAATATTTGATATTTAACTAGTGAATTGTAGGTTGAAGTTATGCTCAGTTTACTTCGGTTTGTAGAGATGAATAGCATCACGAGTCGTCACTCCGAAAACTACAGTCTAAAGTTAAGATGAACCTGTATTTAATAAATATATCCGATTATTTTGTGACGAATAGTGATATCACCTAGCTGTACAAACTGAATAAGTTTGTTTCAAAGCTACGTCTCAATGATATTTAGGTGGCTTGTGTTGACATATGTCACTTTGACGATCGATATATTAGATCAATTTATTATATACACAAAAGAACTCATACAACCGAATAAATAAAGCAATCTCAGTAGTTCATAATAATTTCCAGACAAAGGTGAGTACAAGAAACTATTGAAATGTTACCTGAAAGTAACTTGGAATACATTTTTCATTTATTGTTATCACTATTATGCCACAATCTTTTCTTATTCATATTATTACACTTTTTTAATTTAGGTGAAATATACAGCTCCTGGCTTTCGGTTTTACTTTATATAAATGAAAATGATTGTTGTTACTATGTACAGACTTAATGAAAATCACTTACGACTGATCATGAACTCTTGTAAGTGTCTACTTATCGCTGGTTTCCATTTAATAGGGAATGAATTATGCTTTATGTTGTGTTGAAAAGTTGGAACAGTTTGATGAGATGTAGAATAATGTGAAGAATAATGATGACTTGAACTTGTCCCACTGGTGGGAGATGAATTACTACTTTCAACAACACTATGAGAGGTGTGATTTTCTTTATGACCAGGATGATTATAGTGATGATGGTGATGATGATGATTACCATGATGTTGAAAATGTGAGGAATGAACACCAGATGAATAATGATTGGAACGATGAGAAGAATGAGACGCTAACTCTTTGCATGAACATTTGTAGTTAAAATTATTTCGAGAATTACGATTAGAACTAGACATCGTAGTAGTCGATTGACTAACAACAATCACTGATGTAGATGGATTTGTCAGATTAACTGATGGTACTGTAACAACAACAACAACATTATTCAAACTGTTAACTGTATTGCGTTGGCCGTCTCTATCACAGTTTGGTTTATTAAAAGTTGTGGATGATTCCGGCAAACCACCAGTAGATCTGATCATCCTGAACAAAAGAGAATACCGACAAATATCAAACAAATGATTATGAGATGTTTAAACAATATTTTTAACAGGTTTAACCAAATTGAAGTTCCATTCATGATCACCTGTATGACGGCAATTACAGTTTTCTGATATCCGCTACCAACGGTCATGTCTTAAAACTACGATTTAAGACAAATAATATCAAGGACTAGTTAATGAATTAGATAGTCCACTGTTATAGACTGAGTAAATTTAGGAACACCAGCAGTTTTCTTCAATGACGCTGAAATCTTCATCAGTTACATATTTTGCTGATACAACTACGAGTTTCACTGAATAAATATAATTCAGCGAATAAAATTTTCTTTTTGACAAAATCATTTACTTAAGCTACATATTCGTACTTACAGTTGAATGGTGAATATATATGTCTATAGAAGGATAGGAAACATCGCGTCATAAAGTTATTTGAGACTCAAAATGTCAAATGCGGTTGTGTAATAATCACACAAACATGGGTACAAGGGGGCACCAAATACATATGCGCCACACAGAGTACATTGCAGAAGCAGCTCTTTTAGATAGTGTTTTGGGATATAAATACCAAGGTTTTTACTTTCAATGTAGCCACACAATAGAACAGTTTCTGTGAGTGGAACATTTTCTACCAATAAAACTGATAACTTAAATTGAGCCGACAGAATCAAATGAATTAAGAGAGTTGGGTTTATTAGTGTGATTTCTGACGGATTTTAAAATATCAGCTAACCACTTGGCAATCAAATCATAAGAAGAGTTATTCACATCAAGTATAGGACTTAGAGGGACATTCTTATAAACTTTTGAGAGTCCGTATAGTCTCTATATAACGCAATCCAGTGGTCTAAGATATTCATAGAGATCACAACTGATAATGAACTCATCACATTGTGAATAATCGTCTACTTGTAGATAGTGTTTACATATTGATTACAACAATCCGCAAGAGTTTTGAAATGTTTATAATCTTTATTATATACCGGGACAAAGTCACTTGTATGATGAATGAGGCTTCCAAACTGAATTCTAGCGGAGTTCGTTGATGTTAGTTGAAGTACTACGAAATTTAGAATCAAGAGATAATGGTTGTAGCTAAGTGGTGGATAATGTTACACGAGTAATCTAAAGCACTTCCTTGGTGTATCTTGAGTCTCTGTTAGTTCTAAACTTTTCAATAATTTCAAGTTTACGTTGTACGATTTTCGATAACAGCATCAATGTAATTTGTGCATTTGAAATATTCACCTTATGACAAACCATATAACGTATGTTAGTAATGAAACATATTACCATGCAATCACAAATATGAATGTACAACCCAAGTGCATGATTTCTTCAAAATGATTTTTTTAGCTGAATTCTCTTTATTTTTAAAATACCAGTGAAATTTGTAGATGAGCTACAAACTAGTTAACATTTACAGTGACCATTTTTCATCAATGAAGTGCAACTTTGATCCTAGTGGTATTGTACTTGAGGATAGTTGTGAAACTTAATTTGATGACACCAGACATATGGATCCATATTACTAAAGTTTCATCTTCCTTGTCAATTCGCTTCCACAGCAAATCAATGCATTTTACCCTTCAGAGTTCAGATTTTATAGACACGTTAACGAAGTATAAGTAACTCAAATAATTGTAAATCTGTAAAAAACGAACCCTTGGAATAATATGCATTTTAAACGATAACAGAACATTCTGAGGTGAAAGTTCATTACTATTTAGGGACAAATACATTCCATAAAGAAAAGAATGAGATCGATTGCCGAGAGGCTTGATTTAAAGATGACAGACAGTGAATCTTATGAATAGTTCAGTTATTATTTATTTTATAAATATAATATATGTATATATATATATATATATAAATCCTTAATTAACAACGCACATAAAGAAATGTATTTTTCAATTCAACCAAGACTCGACATAAGACTAGGTATGACAAGTGTATGCTTTCTTAGGAGCTTGAGCGTGTAATGGCTAACTGTCCACCAGTCTTAAGGCATACGAATCACAGCTTTAAAAGACTTACAGACTACTAAATTCGAAATACCCGGGCATAAAGAGCTCAGTGCTGGAACATTCCAACAAACTTGACATTCAATAATCCAGTCTTCAGTTTTCGGAGGTTAGAACTAAAGTTCAGGTCTCTGTAATGATAATCATGATGTTTGGCATTTCAAAGGCTTAAGTTTGTCTGACTTAGTCAACAGGTACAGATAATACATTAATTTACAAAAACGTGAATAAAGACGATTTGATCTCGGGTTTTTTCATTTCTGAAGATGCCTTTTCAGATCATTGTTCAGGGTAGAAATGAAGAGACTGGTCATAGTAGTATTACAAACATCGTTCTACAAAAGAAAACCCAGCATTAAGTCACCTTATAAACAGAGGCTTGACAGTGGAAATAGGTTAAGATCTTTCACTTTATTTTCGTAGGCCACTTATGAAGATGCTTCACCAGTGAAGTTTCTCGACATTCAATCTTTTCAGCCCTAATTATGAGTGTGGATTGACTTCTTGAAGACTTTACTCTTCACATATTCCTACGATAACAAAGGTTTACCATTATTCGCCTCTTATCAATAAATCAACTATATATGGTCTACATCTGCAATCGATTTCAAACATTTTCATTTTAAAACTTTAGACCTGGGTGAAGAACCATATTAAAGGCTTTACTGAAACTAACAATAAACGAATATGTCGAAGTATTTCTACCTTTAGTAGCACTCCAAACTTCTATCAACGACGAATAAATTCCAGAAATAAATAACTGTGCGAGACGTCGACACTGATCTTGTCCTCTTTAGTTTATATGTCACCAACGTTGAGGGCCCCCTATAGTCAAACGGGAATTGTGTGACCAACAGTCAACTCGGAAGTCACAACTGACGATCAAAAGCTAGTGTGGGTTACCCTTCCATCATATCCAGTTACTACTGTTGGTTTCAGGATAGTGCAACACAAAGGACATTATTAAGGAAATATATTAGTAAAAGTAGATACGTGGAACAGAGTGCTATGTATTTAGCAGTAAAACATTTCAACTTTTTTCTACACTATGACAGACCACAAACCCCTTCGCCATTCTTTTAGCACATCGTATGACAAACATTCCCCACGAGAAGCAAGACAACTTGATTATATCTCTCAATTTACCACAGACATCAGGTTTATCAAAGGTAACACGAACATTGTTGCAGATGCACTATCTAGGAGGGACATCAATACGATGGTACTCAATCAGGACATCAGCCTTGAAACCTTGGCTAAGTTACAAGCAGACGATGCAGAATTAAAAGCCTGCAAAGAAAAGTCTAGCTTAGATCTCAAACCAGTACCAATTCCTTTTTCGGATGCATTTATCATGTGCGACACTTCAACAAGCAACAATCGTCCGTTTGTCCCACACGCTTGCAGACGAAAAATATTTCAGCACTTGCACGGTCTTTCACATCCAGGCATCAGAGCAACAACAAAGCTCATTACCGAACGTTTTGTGCGGCCTAAAATCAACTCGGATGTTAAACGTTGGACAAGTAACTGTCTCCAGTGCCAACGCAGTAAGACGCAAAAACACACCTACAGTCCAATTGGGAAGTTCCCTATCCCTGACAAACGCTTCCAGCACGTGCATTTTGATTTAGTTGGGCCACTGCCACCATCAAACTCTTTCACACATATCCTCACCGCAATAGATAGGTTCACAAGATGGGCCATAGCATGCCCCATTAAAGATAAATCAGCAGAAACAGTCGCTTCAGTCTTCCTCGACCGCTGGATAACTAACTATGGAGTACCATCAATGATCACAACGGATCGTGGTCCCCCATTTCAATCTATCCTTTTTCAGGAGTTCATTAAACTTCTAGGGGTCAACCATATTAAAACCACAGCTTACCACCCAGCAGCTAATGGCATGGTTGAAAGATTCCATCGCCAATTGAAAAGCTCGCTGATGGCGCAAGCTGACTCAAAGTGGAGCGATGCCTTACCGCTTGTACTCCTCGGTATTCGTTCAACCATAAAGGAAGACATTGGATGTACAACCGCCGAGTTAGTCTATGGTACAACTCTAACGTTACCCGGCCAACTGGTCAACTATGAACCTACAACGCACGGGGATTCTACTCATTTCGCAAGTCGCCTATTACAAATGATGCAGAACATTAGAGCAATACCACCTCAAGAATACAACAACCCAGTTCATCTCGATAAACATTTAGAAATGTGCAAATTTGTTTTTGTACGAGTAGTCGCGGTGAAAAAGCCACTAACACCACCATATGAAGGCCCTTATAAAGTAATAAAACGCACTCACAAATATTTCATTATCAACAAAAACGGGAACAATGAAACAATTTCCATAGACCGAATAAAACCAGCTTTCTACGAAGCCTCTCAAGCCACAGACGACAATACTGCGAACAAACAATCACTCCCATCAATTGCTAAGAAACAAGAGGAAGAGGAAAAACTTTGCACTACACCCTCTTGTTTAACACGATCTGGGAGACTTATAAAAAAACAAAAGCGTTATGTACATTTTGCCATATAAAAGAACAACTAAAACAATCAAAGCAAACAATTATCGAGGACCTACACTATCAATCTCATCTAAAAAGAATTTTCCTTTCTACAGTGTACATAATCACATTTGTCCACGATTATTCGTTTTGTCACACTTTTTTTCTTCAAAAAATTTGTTACAATAATAAACGAGTAAATTCTATTTAATTATTTATTCATTGTACACAAAAATAAACAGTTCAATTTTTTTTTGTGTGGGTGATTAACAGTTTTACACATTATTATCATTGTTAGCAAACCAAGACTTTAAATGACGGTATTCTCACTACTTTTGTTTGTCATGCTATGCCACATCACCGCTATTTTCACGCAATAACACACTGTATACTATTAACATACATGTCATAAGCATCTCCACATTGTTAATTGCCTATTATTGTAAATATTATTTCTTTCTGTATAAAATTTTTATTATTGTTATTGCAACCAGTGTTACCTCCGGACACTCTGGGGGGAGCTATGTGGTGATATGACCGACAAGCTTGTTTTGTAAATAGTTTTTAATATTATTTGTATTTGTTTTGTCAATTTTTCACTGTATGTACAATCATCATTAAATGACTGTACATGTTGTTTTAGTCAATGACCTTGAATACACTTTCCGTTGTGATTCCAACATAGCGTGACATATTCTTTCTGGCTACCAAATACATTGATACTCACACATCCCTCGTTCTGTTTTCATTCGAGATTGAGTTAACTTAGTTCTAAAACAAATAATATTTACATTCATAGACTGAGAAAGTGAATACATCATATCTTACTTTGGATTACAATACTGGGGAGATCATCGATACGTTTGGAATTACTAAGCATCTATAATTGTGGATTTATTGTACCAGATCAAAGTCGAACACGCATCATTTCGGATGAACTTAAGTAAAGTCCCATTATTTATTGTATTCGTAACATTTAACTTGTATATATTAATATTACTATTGGTTGTTATTAGCTTTGTTGATATCTTTTGCGTTTATATATTGTCTGGTCCGCCACAACTTCAATTATTCGTTTACTTAGGCACGCAAATGGAAATCAGGAAAGCAAAGCTAATTGGAAAAGTTTGATAAAGACATAGGCATTAGACGGAATAATAAGTAACAGACATACTTGTAAGTATCAAATTTTCCCATTTCGGAGAAATTTGATCGGTTTAAGAAAGTTTTGAGAAATGCGACAAAAGCTCCAGAATTTTAAGATATTTTGTGTTTTGCTCAATACTACCCAAGGTTTTCCTAAACTTTTGATGCAATTCATGTATGCTCCCCGAACAATCCCAAGATTTCCCCGTTTTCAGAAGAACCGGTAGTACTGTGGAACCGTGAACACGGCACATCTAATAATAGGCAAAGATTGTGATGTAAACTTACTGTGCTGCAGAATCTGTAGTTACACATGCCAATTTCGCTTTTTAGCTCCTTGCTATGTATAAGTCACAGCCACTTCGGGCATCAACATGTAAGTTAAACAGGCTGATTCCTGAGGACCACAAAGGATCCCTAGCTATTCGATCACTGAAATTTTATAAATGCCTGTCAAGACCCGTGGACTAATGACGAGACATTTGTCCCTCCAATAAAGCTTCGACAGTGCTTATTTCTTCAAGTGCTTTTAATGAGGATGTGAAAGTTAAATTTTCTAGGCTTCCGCTACCACTGACCTTCACAACGATGAGTTTCTTATGTAAACAACCGACTTTTCGTTCTTGCTGTGCAGATTAGTTATTGCTTTCAAAATCACTTTCAATTTTTTGTTGCTATCAGTGGACAACCTATTGGTACCAGATCTACTATGATCCGGTAATAACAGTCGTAGAATAATATGGAAGTGGTGGTGAGAACACCTTTGTCTTAGATGGATTGCCTTACGAGCATGTGCTCAGTAGATACTTCTTAGTTATTAGCGAAAAATTCCCGGTTAAAATGTTCACAACCAGTAACTCAACTGACAAACATCCAGTATCTAATGTAGATTACGCTTTTGTAGTAACCAGGTATTGTGGCTACTTTGATGACTATGAGACACAAAAGGCATTGTTACAGAAGTGCATTAGTATAAGCAGGCTTTTTGTTTTTAGGAGAGATTTCAAAAACAATTTCGTCAGATCTTGTTCATTGGTTATCCTCCTCATTCTTTTGAGATGAGTTTTCAAAGACAGCGGGTCAATATTCCATGAAAATCCTTAAAACTTGCGAGGTCTACATCAAAATATCTGATCTATCCACGTGGCCATCGACTTTAACTTTTTAAGCATACAGTAATAAAATCAGTACACTATGACTCATTCCAGTCGCTGAGAATGATGAACGAATACAATCATATATAGCGAACAAAGACTAGAGAGAAAACAATATATATGTAATTAAAAAGGACGCCGTTCAGCGGTTGCCAAATAGCAGAGAATAATTCCTCTGAAATGGAACAGATTCTGGATGGCGGGTGCTTGTTTAAATACTCCTGAA